ACAAACATATATATGCACAAAAGCTGCGTATAATCTACCATGTATTCGATTGTGAAAGCAGAATAACATATATATTTCTATTACTTAGAAGGTGCCAAGAAAATTAAATTTCGGCATTAAAGGACACACAAAGTGTTGATATACTGTTAAACAAACGAACAAGTCACATCTTTCAACGACGGTTAATAATTGGGATTTATATATGTCCGTTTTGATTTCGACGTCCCCAGTACGTACCCGACGTCTTGAGTTGTCCGTTTTGTTGACTACGATACATTCTGTCATCTTCTAGACAATTTGTATTCCTTTCTTATGCTTTTTCGTTTACTCCCTTGTTCGTCATCATTCATCAATCCATTGTTATACCTGTATCTTATACTGTTAAGATTTATTTAGTAGGAGTAGATAGGTTCGCCTACCGCCCGGTTCATACTCCTTCCTCGTTTTGTTTCTCTTATGGCTTTGGGGTTTTCGGTTTCTTCTAATTTGTGTTACTTCGCTTTCACTCCCAGTAACCACTTGCGTCTTAGCGGCATTATCACTGCACTTGGGGAGAAATCATTAAAAGTCCAATGTTTATGGCCCTCAGTAATAAATTCTAGGTGAGGGGGGGTTCTTAGATCATCTTGATGTGCAGCTTAAAGATACCCGTTGTGAAAACACAACACTGCAAATTGTTGCAAATGCCAAACAATAACATAGCAGCTAAAGTCATGGACTTAAGTTCAGTCCATCAGTTGTAGATATTCAAAAAAAGAACTAAAAAGAGTAGTCCGTGACATGCAACTCGAAGAGGAAATAATGAAATAATCAAGGTTTTAATATTCCAAATAAAAAGGTTAAGAAAAAAAAAACCCATCAGAAATGGAAAGAGCTATAACAGCTACTGGACTTTTCAAGAGAGATAAGAGAAGACAGCGAATCCTTTAACAAGCGAGCTTGCCTGAATGAATTTGAGAACGACGGTCAGAAAACTTACCAAAAGGAGAAAACTTTCTATGAGCCACTGGGGACAAGAAGCCAAGATTGGTTTTATCATGGATGGATAAGAATAATAATAATAATAATAATAATAATAATAATAATAAGAAGAAGAAGAAGAATAAGAAGAATAAGAATAAGAATAATAAGAAGAATAAGAATAAGAATAAGAGAATAATAATAATAATAAGAAGAATAAGAATAAGAATAAGAATAATAATAAGAAGAAGAATAAGAATAAGAATAATAAGAAGAATAAGAATAAGAATAGAGAATAATAATAATAATAATAAGAATAAGAATAAGAATAAGAATAATAATAATAAGAAGAAGAATAAGAATAAGAATAATAAGAAGAATAAGAATAATAAATAATAAGAATAATAATAATAAGAAGAAGAATAAGAATAAGAATAAGAATAATAATAATAAGAAGAATAAGAATAAGAATAAGAATAGAGAATAATAATAATAATAAGAAGAAGAAGAAGAAAAAAGAATAATAAGAAGAAGAATAATAAGAATAAGAATAAGAATAATAATAAGAAGAAAATTTATAATAATAATAATAAGAAGAAGAAGAATAAGAATAAGAATAATAAAGAATAATAATAATAATAAGAATAAGAATAAGAATAAGAATAAGAATAAGAATAATAAGAAAATTTATAATAATAAGAATAATAATAATAAGAAGAATTAGAAGAATAAGAATAATAAAATAATAATAATAATAATAATAATAATAATAATAAGAAGAAGAAGAAGAAGAAGAAGAAGAAGAAGAAGAAAAACAACAACAACAACCTTTCGATCGTCTGACATGGTTGGCATTTCGACGCAGACATTAGTCTTTTTCGGTGACTTGGGCAAATAAATATTTACGACGCGTTTACATTCACTTAATATTCCGAGCGCGATGAATTAAAGGGAGGTAATCGATAAATTCAAGGGAGGTAATCAAATGTTCCTTGCTTTAAGTCTTTCGAATCGAGACGCAGGAGGGAGCGGGGGTTGAGGAGCGGGTGTAATCTGATTACGAATGTTTAGATTCGTTAACGTTTTCGACAAGTCACGGGCAAATGTGTAGACGATATCAGTCAACGGTTCAGCATCGAAGAATTCAGAAGTCAATAGAGTTAGCTGCTGTTTCGAGATCGAAATTTGAGTCGATCATCGGTTAAGAAATAAAAAAAAACAATAAAAAAATCAGAAAATCGAAGCCTGTGAACAAATGCACGCACTAATATTTGTTTTTCAAATCTATTTAGCGGTGTATTTTACACTACGCGCGTAATATATATATAGCGAGACTCTTCGCGAAAGTGAATTGAGTCACTGTCAGTTACTGGGCGTGTTTCTAAAAAAAATCAGTTCGCTAAAATCGACGGCTTAGTGGTTTGAAGCTCCGACTGACACAAATTCAGTCGGGTTTCGATCCTAGCTAGAGGCAACCGGATGTCTATCCACACTGATGAGCTGAAAACAAGAAACAGTCTGTCTGTGGATGACGTTATATATATATATATGTGTGTGTGTGTATATACACACACATATATATATATATACACAAATATATATATATATATATATATATATATATATATTTCTACACATTCTGTGTCCAGAAAAATTAAATAAAATGCTTAATCGCATTTAACCAAACATGAATAAATGATGGGTTGCTGCTTAAATACACTATACATATAAATGTTTTTCTAATATATAATTTATTTTATCTAATTATATTTTTATTTTTAAACATCTTTTATTCTTTAATATAACCTATTTTTTTATTACTTATAAGTTTTTAAAAATATGATGTTACTTAATTTTAATGTAAATTTTCTAAATAAAACTTATTTTCAACTTAATTTTAATTTATTTAAATATATCATATTTTTATAACTTGTCTTTAGAAGGATATTTTTAAGAAGGAATTTGTATTTTTAAACTTAGAAATTAAAAAAAAACAAACTTTTCGTTCCTGTCAGTTCCAAATTAACACTTCTTTATTTATATAACCCTAATTTTATGTCATAACATTAATATCCGGGCTTTTCTTTTTAAGGCTAATACCTTATTCCCTCCCCTGAACACCCTCTCGTACCTTTCGTCTGATTGAAACATTGAAATGAATAAATTCTATAGCAGTTTTTCGACAGCTGTCACAGTTAAATTTCTAATACCGAAACGATCTCACTCTCTATACACCGGATTGGATAAGACTGACTAATTTTTCGTCGGTTGAAGTCTATACGCCATATGAGGTAATTTTGGATTTTTTATATACTAATTATTAGCTCTGTAATAATAAATACATTGAGCTCTTTTTGTGGATCAGTTTAAATATTTTATATTACTAGGATCCACTGTATATGGTGGATTCTCCTATCGTGAACGATAAATGGTCAGCATTGGATAGTGCCTTTCGTTTTACACTTATGCTTGCTAGCAGGGCCTATTTTGGAGAAAATCAGCTAAGGGAAAGACATATTCCATTTGTGTTTTCTTAATTATGATACTAGCCCAGCCTTGCTGCGGGCGATAAAGCCATACTGACAGATGAAATTTGTAAAGCAGGATTTTGAGGGTGTTTCTGCTTCAGAGCTTGTCGAACCTGATCACAGTGCTTCAGTCTACTGTCTTCAAAACCCCTTAACTTAATGAAACATGTTTTAGTCATCTCGTTTCGGCTTGATGCTTGGGATTCCCAGATTTTCAGATCAAAATTGAGATGTTTCAAGTTGCCTTTCAATTTGTCCTCGTGGCGTAAAAGTGGATGTCCACCTGAACGCTTGGAGTTTGGTAGTTGTCTATACAGGACCTTTTTTGAAAGCCTATGCTCATCCATTCTCACAGCATGAACAGTTCACACATGTTGCTAGAATGGTTTCAATGCCTGTGACGTTGTTAAATTTCTTCAGGATTTTATATATATATATATATATATATATATATATATATATATATATATATATATATATATAAATGACAATGGGAAAACTAGTTATTTCTGATGCGTTCCGTCCAATGTTTGTTTTATCAAAACAAAAATCGAAATTAATTTAATTAAAGAACATAACTAATAAAAACAAAAAACACAATGTTCTTAGCAACTGGAGGAATGTAGAGAACGCTATTTTCATATTGTTACCTGAAAATAACGTCCGTTATTGTCACGTGTGGAGAAAATTGTCCTCATAATTGTGTTCGCAGATTCAACCATTTTCATTTGAATTTACTATATTGTTGTGTACGTTTGTTTGGGAGAGCAATAATTTTGTTAAGAAAGGTGAAATAGGGGAAAAGCCTGGGCATAGATTAATATTTGGGTAATATTCTATGGCGGCACTCTCTAGAATTTACCTTCTGAGTGAGTTGTTTTCTTTTTTGTATGATTGTAGCTTTTTTAAAATCAAAGTAATGGTTGAATTTATTTCTTTGTATGACTAGTGCATTAGCTAAGTTGTTGAATTAGTGCATTAGCTATGTTGAAAATAGCGTTCTCTCCATTCCTCCAGTTGCTAAGAACATTCTGTTTTTTGTTATTATTAGTTACGTTCTTTAATTAAATTCATTTCGATTTTTGCTTTGATAAAGTCCACATTGGACGAAACCCGTCAGCAATAACTACAGTTTTCCTATTGTCATTTATATATATAAATATTGTCTTTTCTACAGGTTAACTCTGAGAAATGTTCATATATATATATATATATATATATATATATATATATATATATATATATATATATATCAAAAGTTTGATGGCCCAAAAAAGTTTGACAAAGACTTTTTATTTTATTGTATTTTTCTATTTATGGTATATTCTATATTTATGGCATTTTGTATTTTGATCAAAATTTTGGCTAAACGTATCGGAAGTTCATGTTGTGTTGTTGCTTTGTATACTTAAGAGCGTCTTACTCAATTTCAAGAACTGACAGGTTCTCTGTGTGGTATCCATAATTCACTTTTCTATATCCTTGGAAAGCTGGAAGTTTGAAATTGTTCACCGAGATGTCAAAACTTGAGAGCGAGAGACAGAGTTTGGCGGAGTTGGAAAGAGAAAGAAAGGCAGGCTGTGAGAAGCAGAAAGACCGAAATAACCACCTGATAAATCTTTGAAGGAATTCCTGAGTTGATTTGATGCTACAATTGGTGGGTAGATATGATGAATTCCTTCAAATTCTAAAAGCTATACAACCAAACCAAAGTATTTTAGTGCCACTTGACGTTCAAATCTTATTTACAAACGTCACCGTCTATCGAACCATCGACATAATCCTTAACTCTGTGTATAAAAATAATCACATTCCACCTCCATCCATCAAACCCAATATCCTCAAACAATTATTGCATGCCTACCCAACTGGACTCTTTCTACGACCTTAATGGAAATCTCTACACCCAAACTAAAAAATATTGTCTACATAACGGACATATATTTTGGGTTAAGTAACTTGTTTAAATATCGCGTTTTCTACGTCGGATAATTAGTATTTGAAGAGGTGCGGGCCGAGGGGATTTCCCATAGAAACACCATTGGAAAAATTATTGCATGCCTACCCAACTGGACCCTTTCTACGACCCTAATGGCAATCTCTACACCCAAACTTATGGTGTTTCTATGGGAAATCCCTTCGGCCCATATCTCTTCAATTACTAATTATCCAACGTAGAAAACGCAATATTTAAACAAGTTACTTAACCCAAAGTATATATCCGTTATGTAGACAATATTTTTATTTTAGTGAAAATCAAGCTTGAAATTGATAATCTCCAAACCACATTCGAAAAACAAAAACTCACCTATGGGCATAGTGAAAAAAAAAAAAAGAAAAAAGAAAAACCTACCATACTTAGGTGTTCTAGTACAATTTAGTAATACCATATTAATTACTTTATTATACAAAAGCAGGAACTCTTGCCAGCTTAATTTTTAGAGTGAATGTCCACTTCATCGACAACCAGATTAGACTATTTTTTATAATCACATTTTTCGCGCACCGTGAATTAGACATTAGGGACATCGGGCTATACAGGGATGATGGGCTCATGGTAATGAGGAGTTCCACAAATTTTTAAATAGATAAAATTATAAAGATAATATATAGTGAACTGAGAAAACTAAATTTAAAAACTACAGTCAATAAAAAATTGAAAAGGGTAAACCTCCTTGACGTAACTCTGGCTTAAGGAACACGATTACCTACCTTGCAGAAAACCTAACATTAACCCCTTGTATGTACGCCCTACATTACACCACCCTCATCTACAATAATTTATATACATTTATCAATAGAGAAAAGAATCAGCACGAAATCCGCAGATGAAGAATTCTTCTAACAACACAGTAATTTTTACAACACAGCTCTAAAAATTAGTGGATACGAAAATGCGAAGATCAAGTATAGAAACAATAAGACTAACCAGAAGAAAAACAGGAAAAGAAAAATCATTTTGTATAGCACTCCATTCAACCAAATTGTTAGTATTAAGCTAGAACAAAAATCCCTAGCTTTAATTGAAAAACACTTTCCTAATGATAGCAGACTTAGCAAGATCTTTAATAAAAACACCTTAAATTTAAGCTACAGTTGCACTGAAAATCTAAAAATAACCATCAAAAAACATAATAATAAAATCCTGGAAAAACACGCTTGCCAAAATATTATTGATAAAAACAATAAACTAAAATTAGACAAAAATAATGAAAAATTATGTGATTGTAGAAACCCTGAAGACTGCCCGTTGGAAAATAAATGCCGCACAAAATCTGTGGTATACCAATGCATTATCTCATCCATTGAGAGTCCTAACACTGATAGGATATACATTGGTTTAATGAAGAATGAATTTAAAATTAGATGGAGACAACACAAAAGCTCCTTCAATAATGTTAGAACTAGAAATCAGACATCCCTATTCAAATATTTTTGGCATTTAAAAGAAATGAATAAAACACCAAAAGTAAAACGGAACATAATAAATAGAACAAGAACCTGTAAAATCTGGGATGACCCATGCCCTTTATGCCTACATGCAAAACTACAGATTATTAAATTTCTAAAAAAAAGAAAATTTATTAAATCATAGATATAAGTTAACTGGGCACCAACAAATTTTGCCTTAAATAATTGAATAATTAGCTTAAAATTTTAAAATTTCATAGTCTATAAACAATTTCAATATCAAGCAAAAAGTTTAAAAGCTCAACCCAATCATAAGATAAAAAACCATTTATGAAGTTGTCAAAAAACAAATTGTATTTCATTACGACGTATTTATATACAAACAACGCTTTTAGAAAAAAAAATTAAGATATTTTAAAATATTTTATACAAATACAAATTTAACGGCTTAACAATAATGCAAACGACTCTCTGTCGTTGAAACAGACCAGGCGATATGCTTCAAACTGATGTCATCATACGCATGAAAATAGACACCCCGACCCTACCTTGACTTAACCTCTATCCGAAAGTAATTAATATGTTGATATAATATGTTCACCCTTTCGCACCTTATTACAATAATTGGTTTCACCGTTTTCATGTAATTAATTACGAATGTATATGCTTATAAAGTTCCGCAAATTTCAAGATTTGTTATTCCAAAATTCGCTTGAGGATAAAATAGAGCTGTTTTTTATAGCTTCTATTTTTGAAACATGAGAACTCTTATGTAGCCATAGAACATATTTTTAAAAAAATAATTATAATTTAGGCTCTATTTATGCATTGAGCACTGTTTTTAAAAAAATAATAACAAAAATGCTAAAGACCTTTGTATTATTAACCTAACGGCTCTTTCCAAATTTTCTATATATTTGCACACACACACAAACACACTAATATATATATATATATATATATATATATATATATATATATATATATATATATATATATATATGAGAATGTCTTCTTTTTAAGCACCTGTTTTTCAGAGAGAGCGAGGAAAAAAAAGACAGTTGGAGGAGGGAGACTGCAGGAGAAAACAAAACGGACGAGCAAGAAAGCAAGATGGCGATTAAACAAAGGGGGACAACTATGCCCAACTTCAATAGCCGCATAAAACTTTTCTTCAGCGGACAAATGCCAATCAAACCTACTCGAAGTTTCTGTCGAATCTTGCCCGGTAGAACATGTAGTCACCGATTTAACAACAATATGGGGTCGTTAGCAGCAGGCTGGGAATTTATTTGATGGAAACACGTTTGTCAACAGACGCAAAGCAGAAGCGAGGCATGGTAATTGCGACGACGTGTGGGAAATAAGGTAAAGTTTGTTCAGCTTTTGGTTTGACTAGAAATTGTTACTTTTCACAATGCCGTGTTGTGAAGGGTTTTTAATAGAGATCTCAATTCACTGTTCATCTTTCGGTCCGAGCGTATGGAAGATGTCAAATGCATAGACTCGCGCACACGGTATGCAGCCGTAAACAGGCAGATGTGTATTTATGTATATATGTATACTATGTCTCAAGATATACGCACGATTCGAAAATACCTATCTGTCTATATCAGTCTGTCTATATTTTTTCCATCTATTAGTGTTTATCTACTGGTATTTCATTATTATCTTAAATTAATTTTATCTCATTCAATTACCATTATCTATATATCCATCGACCATTCTTACACTCTCTCTTAGTTTTATATACGTAGGCCGAAATTATGGGCCACCCAGTGAGCATCGAACTCACTATTCAGTCGTAATTGATTTTATGAGACAAGCTTGCTAAGCATTACACCGACTCGAGGTGTTATATATATATATATATATATATATATATATATATATATATATATATATATATATATATATATATATATATATGTATATATATATATATATATATATATATATATATATATATATAGCGGTCATAATATAAGGAACAGAAACAACAAAAACATAAATATGTGTATTACTTAAAAAGTACTTTTGTCCAGTAGGTTATTTCCTTTGTCCATTTAAACATTATTTAAAAAAAAAAAAATATTATGTAAATTTTTGTAACTTTGTATAATATTTATGCATTACACCCTGATCTTTATTCGGTAAACATTTCATTGCTAATCATGCATTACTTTTTAAGTAATACACATATTTATGTCTGTTGATTCCGTTCCTTATATTATGGCCGCTACTGTATATATATATATATATATATATATATATATATATATATATATGCGTGTATGTGTGTGTGTGTACGCGCGTGCGTGTGTACTTGTTTTGTGTCTCTCCGTCACTTAAAATCTACTTCAATCCCAATTAATCTAATTAAGTTTATTTACTCAGACGAAATGCTTTCTACGTACATGAAATTTTTCTTTTGTTTTTCTTTCTTTAGTTCATTTTTTCTCTTTCTTTCTTTCTTTCTTTTTCTTTCTTTAATTAATTCTCCCTTCTTTCTTTTACTTCTTCTTTGTTTCTTTTTTAATTTGTTCTTTTTTTATTTTTTTTCAGTCTTCCCTTTTCTTTCCATTCTTTCTTTCGTTTTAGTTAATTTTCTTTAATTCATCCTTTTTTTCTATCTTTATTTCTTTCATTCTTCAATTGTTTTCTTTCCTTGAACTTCTATTTTTTCTCTTTAATTCTTTTTTTAATTGTTTCTTTCTTTTTTAATTAATTCTTTCTTTCTTTTTAATTCAATTTTTCTTTATTTCTATTTTTCATAAATTTCTTTCTTTCTTTCTCACATTAATTTTTAGATAATTTTCTTTATATTTTCTTTATTCAATTCATTGCTTCTTCCTCTCTTTCTTTAATTCTTTCTTCAATTTTTTCTTTCTTTCTTTCTTTCTTTAATACATACATTGTTTCTTTTCCTTCGTACTTACTTTCATTAAAAGTCGCATACTAAAGATATTGATTCATTTTTTTTTTTTCTTGGCTCAGAATAATGATAATTGTAAATATACCGTACACTTTTTTCTGCCTTCATATCAGCCGAACAAAATTTCTTTCGTATACATTCTCTGTAAAAAACACCCCCGCGCGCACATGCTTTGAGGCGCCTTTGGAATCACAGTTCAGTATACTTTTCTTTGTTTCTGTTGCTTCAAGTCTCTTCTTCATCTTTGAGGAGATTGTCCAGCATTCACTGCTTTATAAGAGGACTGATATTACATAACAGTTCAGTATACTTTTCTTTGTTTCTGTTGCTTCAAGTCTCTTCTTCATCTTTGAGGAGATTGTCCTGCATTCACTGCTTTATAAGAGGACTGATATTACATACCAGTTCAGTATACTTTTCGTTGTTTCTGTTGCTTCAAGTCTCTTCTTCATCTTTGATTCTATCTTCTTAATTCTTGTTCCTTTAATGTTCCCCTTTCTTAATAGTGTTTTTCTTTTTCTCATATTCTTTCACACTCAGTAACTCCTTGTGTCTTAGTAGATTTATTGCTTTACTTGGGATGAAATGTTTAAATGGAATATCAATCGTTATCTTCTGTCTTCTTAATTCTTTTTCTTTTATTGTTCTCTCTCCTTAATAGTTTTTTGCTTTTTCTCATATTCTTTCACACTCAGTAACTCCTTGCGTCTTAGTAGATTTATTGCCTTACTGGGGATGAAATGATTAAATCTAATATCAATCGTCGATAAAATTAAAAAAAAAACACGCTAAGCTTTGTAAATACCTATTTGTCCATCCAAGTTTGTTTACCTATCTATCTATACGGATATTTGTGAAGCCAAACCCGACTACTATCGATCAATAATTCTCCTTCGGTCTCTAGTAGGCTACGAAAGGCCTAAATTCGCAACCGCAAGTGACTTGCCCTGTAATTAATCGATTTTTAATTAATTGATCGATGCACTAATTGCGCCATTGATTGATTGATAACTAGCAAGCAAAGCAAATGAAATACCATGATGAATTTGCAGCTACAATTTCACCCACATCCTGACTCAGCTAACCCCTTTCACTCAGCTCGAACTGGCAACCGGCTTGACGCCTGGCCTTCAAAGTGGGAATACTTTATCTCTGATGTTGTGCAATAGCTGATTAATGGTTGTACTTTTTCTGGCTTTCATATGTTCAACCTGAGAAGTCTAAAATTCTGATTTAAACATTAGACCATAATTGGTACTGAATAAAGTATTTAGTTCTTAAAATATATCTGTAATTCTTTCTCCTTCTCAGAAAAACACAATATATATATATATATATATATATATATGAAGAAAAATATTAGTCTTAAGGTGTGCTATATTTATGGGATAAAAGTGCTCAATATCAGAGATGGAGCGTGTAAATATAAAAGTGAACATAGAAGTCAACACTTAGAGGCGACAGTCTGTTTCATGCTATATGCAATCGTCAGGTCATATATATATATATATATATATATATATATATATATATATATATATATATATATATATATATATATTATAATTGATTTTTTAAATAATATTACAATCGCAACACCGAAATTCACAAGTTTCAAAACTGAAACTTAATTTCAAATTCAATTACAAAATTTAAACTTAAAATACAAAGTTCCGTTCCATTATCAAGCGATGCTAAGAATAACTTTTTAGAAATTCATTTACTTAGTTGATAATTCCAGACAAACTTGCTATTTTGAGATGTTGAGTTTAAGGAAAATTCAATCTTTTATTTTAGCGGTGTTAAGATTATTTACTTATTATATTTTACATATTTAGAAAATTCATGTATCTAATGTATTGTATTTATCAAGTTCAAGTCAGGGTGGGAGCTGGGGTATCTGACCACTAGCCACAAACATCCTTTTTTCAAGTAGAAATGTGTGGTAGACACATCGTCTGGGTTTCAATCACAATATATTTGGCATTTTATTTATTTTTTGTTAATTTTTATATAAATTTCAATTAAGTTTTCTTTCAAAAGGGACATTCAATTATTATTTAATCATATTTTTAATATTTTTATTTTTATTCGTACCGACTTAAGTTATTATATTTAATTTATTTACTGTGTACATATATGGTAAAGACAAGCAATATGGCTTCCGTTTGCCCGATCTACAGCTGATGTGCTTACGGCCATCACTGAAACTGTCTACCAAGCTCTTCAAAATAACGGAGAAGCTCGTAGAAGCCCTAGACATCTCCAAAGCGTTTGGTAGGGTTTGGCATGCCGGCCTTCTTCGCAAGCTCCAGGGTTATGGCATTACGGGTCGATTGTTTGAGCTAATACAATCAATCCTTTCAAACCGTGAATTGAAGGTCGTTCTCAACGGATTCTCCTCCAGTTCCTATCCCACGAACGCAGGGTTTCCTCAAGGCTCCATACCGGGCCCCACTCTATTCCTTATCTACATAAATGACTTTCCTGGCGCTATAAATTCCCAAGTTGGCATCTACGCGGATGACACCACAATATATTCCTGCCTCAAAAACAAATCTAGTGTCACTGATAAAACTAACCTGGCCGTGCATCTTGAAAAGGACCTCCAATAGCTTGTAAACTGAGGCAGGAATTGGCTGGACAACTTTAATGCTTCAAAAACGAAACTGCTCTCTATTAATCACCACAGAGATCCTTCCCTTCCCTCCATTAGAATGTCTGACGCTCAACTTCTCTAAAGTACCTCTCTGCGGCTGCTCGGTCTCACGTTGACTGCTGACCTGAGATGGAACAAATACATTGAGAATTGCTTCGTCCACCGCAAGGAAAGTTGGCTCCTTGTGCCACGCCAGAAAATTTTTTTCCCCGCAATCGATCATCCAGATTCGCCCTTGCATGGAGCATTGCTGCCATATATGGTCTGGAGCCCCTTCTATTTGCCTCGGGGTTCTTGATAAGCTTCAGAGGCGGATATGCAATATAATTGGCCCTGCTCTGGCATCTTGTCTACAGTCACTTTCTCACAGACGCGCCGTCGCCTCTCTCTGTCTGTTTTACAAATACTTTCATGGCAATTGTTCCGAGGAGCTGCATTCGCTGGTTCCCAGGCTTCATGAGTTCAAGCGCCCTATGAGGCTGGCATCTCGCTCTCACCCTTTCACTGTCGAACTCCTAAATGTATCCGTCTCTTCTACTACAATAGTTTCATGTCTCGCACCTCTCGCC